TCTGTTTCCTTTTACTGCTGGGGATGGAACCCAGGGCCTTGCCCATGTTAAGTTTGCACTCCCTCACTGAACTATACCCCAAGCCCTCTTAATATATTTTCAACCAGTAGGTATGAACTTACGAATATGATGAGGGATATTTATCTATCAATATTTACTCAATCTCTAAGTTATTTCTAGTATTTAGTGACTATAGAGAGTGCTACAAAAAAAACTTTTCAGCCCTTGTCTAGGCACTTTTCTAACATTTTTTAAAGGATGAATTCTTAGAATTGATTTACTTCCCGACCATTGTCTCTCTAAACCTGGCCAAGATTGAGCATTATTATAATATTATTACTGATAAATGAAAAATGGCATCCCATAGTTTTGTGTGAATTTCTGATGGCTATATTTACATAATTACTTATAATTTGAATGGCCAGTTCCCATTTTATTTTTAGAGTATTTAGACCTTTTCTTATCAACCAGGAAGAGATCTTTATACAGTATACACTATAATACACTATAATACTTTAATACACTATATTGCTGACTGATATTTATATGTCAACTGAGTTGCAAAATCTTTTCTCCAGTTTTCTTTCACTTTTAGAATGTAAATTTTCTCTGAGGTTGGGAGGATAGTTTAGTCATGATGCCAAGAACATTCCAGCCAGCCTGGAGGTGTGTGTTCCACAGTGGTAATGACAGCTACTCAGGAGGCAGAGGCAGGAAGATCACAAGTTTGAGGTCAGCCAGAGAAATCTAGCCAGACCTTGTGTGGAAAACACTGGGATGTAGCTTGGAGCTTCATAAATTCAAACCCCAGTATGGTGGGCGTGGGGGTTGGGTGAGATGTTCCAATAGGAAAGACTAATGACAAGATTTTTGTCCCCAAAGATATTAAGTGTACCATAGAGCTACCGTCATTAAGCCACCGACACTGTGGAATTGCAGCAGAAACACACAGCAACATCAACAGAGAGAACTCAAGAGTCAAGCATATGAGTTCAATAGGTGGAGAAAATAGCGTTTGGAGAACTATTGCAAAAGTTAGATTTCTGGCTTGCTTCGAAACCCACAAATTCCAGAAGGATTAAAAGTAAAAAAAATTAAATAAAAATCATTTCAGTAGCTGAAATATATTAATATATGAATGTGATTTGCCAACCCACAAAGTTCCCCCCCCACCCCAAACACAAAACAAAAATCAAGGCACATTTTATAACAAGCGTCTGAGGGATGCAGGTTAATCACGCGAAGTACAGAGCTTAGAGAAGCGTTCCAGGCAGAGGGAACCGCCGGGGCAAAGGTTAGCAGGCTGGAAGACGACCGCGTGCAGACTCTGCAGAGACAAGAATCCAGGATCGAACTCAGGACGCCCACAAGGAATCCAGGGCTGAGGCCATACCCGCCCCCACAGCCATCATAATTATGTAAAATACCAGTTTTCCCATATATGGTACTTAATATCTGTTCTTCTGGTAGGACAGGACGTGGGGGGAAATAGCTCGTAGGGCGGAGTGTCAAAGCCCGGGACCTTCCCAGTCTAGTGGCGCCTAGCCTCTCTCCCGGACCTGCAAAGCAACCCCGCCCCAGCCCTTTGCTCTCGAGCCGCTTGCTTCTGATTGGAGGCTGTGTGTATCAATCTTGCTTTCATCCATTGAATCCGCCCTCGGAGGCGGGGCTCCCGCCTAGGAAGCTAGGGGGAAGGTAGACCAGGGGGACGAGATGAAAACCCATCCCACTGGCCACAGAAGACCCACCTACCATTTCCCACAGGTCAAGATGTCTGTCCATCAAGATCAGAGGCGCGCTGGAGTGGGTGAGGCAGGGAAGGGGGCGTGAGTTTCCAGTCCCCGCCCCTTTCCGGGCGTGTCATACGATGGATCCTCCTCCAAGGGGCGGGGCGGAAGGCGGCAAGCTCCAGAGCTGGGTGCGGTGAGGCGCGCAGATCACCGCGGTTCCTGGGCAGGGCACTGAAGGCTGAGCGAGGCTAACTTGCTCCAGCTCCCGCCTCGCGTGCTCGCCCCACCCCGCCGCCGCCCGAGCGCTCGAGAAAGCCCTCT